GGGAAAGAGAGATCTTTTTTTTTTTGGGTGCACACTTACTCTGACACACAGGAAGTTAGAGGGCTACCACACACACACACACACACACCCACTGACACAGACTCACCGGAGCCGAGCAGCGAGTTACCACGGCCTGTGGAAAAACTGCCGGCAGAGGAGGAGGAGAAAGAAGAGGAAGAAGTGGTGGTGGGAGGTAGCGTGGAGGGGAAGGCGGGGTGTGGGATGGAGGATGGGCTCGTGTACAGTGAGGATGTTAGCGCTGGAGGAAGAGGTGCTGGGTGGTGATGGTGGTGATGATGCTCTTCTTCCCTCCTGTCCCGGTTCTTGCTGCCCCGTGGGCGCCCTGGACCATGACGGCTCTTCTTGTTGACACGGTGCCTCCGCTCTCGGGGCAGTGCTGGAGGTGTGGCTTTGTCCTCCACGTCTGCCTCCTCCAGGATAGGTGCTGTACTCAGCTGAGACGGCTTGCAGAGAGACTTGGAGGGTTTGTAGTCCCCTGAGGAGGAGATCTTGCGGATTTTGCTGCTGCTGCCCAGCCCTGATGAGGAGGTGATGCGCATGATGGAGCCAAAGGTAGAGATGGTGACCTTGTTCTCGAAAGGGCTGGAGTTGCCGTCTGACTTGTCGTGACTCTGTGAGCTTGCCAGTGGGCCATCGGCAGGAGTCAGTGCTGGTGGCTTGTGGTATTTACTGTCCTCCTCCTCCTCTTCCTCATCTTTGTCCTCCCCCTTCTCATCATCCTCTTCATCTTCGTCCTCTTGGACCGCTGGCCTCCTGTGACGCTCCTTGCGCTCCTCTCCACTGTGGTCGTCACCTCCTCGGTCATGGTCACGCTCCAGGCGGGAGGAAGATGAAAACTGATGGAAATCTTGAGCAGACGACAAGGAGCCACCTACTGGGGGAGACGTACGCAGAGACGAAATACAAACACACTCACCTCAGTTGCCTTCTGTCAGCTCGGACTTTCTAACATAAGCTGCAGTGTTCCAGCAGTTCACTGTTCATTTCTTACCTGTGTTGAATGGGCTGGAAGAGCAGGAGGAGGAGGAGCAGCTCTTGCCAGTGCTTCCTGTCTTCTTACTGCGATGACCATGACTGTGCGAGCTCAGCTTCTTGGACTTTCCCTCACTCTCCTTGTTGCCGTGGTGACTGGAGGCGATCTGCACCAACATAGGTCATAACAACATTATATTTATTCAGATGTTTCTGTAAAGTCCACCAAAAAGACAGCTCTTCACAATATGTTACAATAAACTTGACCTTACAAAATATGATTTCCATAATCATAACTGAAGTACTGTGGCATTAAGATTTATCTGAATTTTAATTTCCATCTCACAGTCGTTAGTGTCATTTGCTTTTCATACCTTCTCTATGCTGTCGGTGGTCACTGAAGAGCCCAGGCTGTCAGAGGACTTCTTGTGGCGCTCTTTTTGACGAATCTTGTCCTTATGACTCTGAAAACACACACACACACACACACACACACACACACGTTATCTTTGTCACTCTCTCCTTGTGTGTTTGTTCCTTTCTCCTATATGTGTAAAATGTGCACTTCAGTCTGGCATATTGTGTGTCTGTTCTCTTTCCAGGTCTTCATGGTGGAGAGGCCATATGGCTCTGGTCCTGTCTGCTGGCATACCTGGAAGCTGCTTGACATCAGCCCGGATTATATTCTTCATACAAGTTTATAATCTACAGTGTGTAATTTATGGGGCAGAGCAGCTCACTGCCTAACCAGCTAGTATCATGAAGTCCATCCTGACTGTTCATACAGTAAATCTAGTATGCTGATTTATTCTCTGCACGCAACGTCTGCCTGTCCTGGAAGAGGGATCCCTCCTCTGTTGCTCTTCCTGAGGTTTGTATTTGAGGGTCTAAGGACACAGGGTGTTGTATAATGTACCGATTGTAAAAGCCCTTAAGGCAAATTTGTGAATTGTGACACTGACTTGACTTTACTTGACTTGATACATACACAGGAATCAGACAAGCCAGGTCCACCCAGGCATACGTTATCCAGTCTAACACATAAACCCAATACGCATGCACACATACAATTACTAGGGCTAGGTATCAGTAGAATAGTTTTATACTAGTGCCAGTAAGGTGCTACTATGTTACCAGTACCAAAACTGTTTTTCAAACCCTAAAGACACGACAATGAATCTAATTGGATTTTCAACACCAGCTTCTGGCACTTAACACTTCACCTAGCCTTTACAATTACACACATTAGTAACGCTGGCGCTTACCTTCCGCTGCCTGTGGTGGTGGTGTTTGTCCTGTGGGGGAGAGCTGGAGCGCCCCCTGGAATGACTGAAAGAGCTACTTGTATTTTCACTAGAGCGTAACTTCTTCTGCTGTAAAAGCCAAAAGAAGAAAGTGAGCATTGTCTCAAGACCAACTGCAACTTTATTAGCTGCCAGGCTTTTATCACACAGCACCTTAAAGATATGCAACAGTTTGACATTTTGGGAAATACCCTAATTTGCTATCTTACAGAGAGTTAGATGAGAAGATCATACACTGCTTCAGACAGCTTAACATAAAGACTGAAAACAACCAGCGTGGCTCTGTCCAAAGGTTAAAAAAAATCACCTACCAGCACCTCCATACAGTGGTTATGAGCCAGACTATTTCCTGGCTGGGCGCAGTAAGAGTCCTGTTGCTGCTGTGAGGTTGCCAGGCAACCAGCAGAGACTCCAGGAAGTCACTGGGCCTGGCCAAGAAATAGTCTGGCACATAAGCTCCTGTGCTGAACAATGATGCGTTTTTTTGAAATGGCAGTTCAGTACAATTATGAGGCAAAGGAGTGTGTATTCCCAGGATGAGTCAAAGGGAGGATCTGGGAAGGAACAATCTCCTCAGATTTTTACCATCTTGTTGTAGTGATGCTTGCAGTAGCCACAGTATTTCACATTGTCAGCTTCTGGGCCTTCTTCCTCACACAGCAGACCGGCCATCTGAGCACTGAACACACACGAGGTCACAGGGTCAGACAAAAGAGGAAGTCCCAGAGTTGTGTCACTGATCAAGGCAGGATGAATTAAAAGTCAGATGTGCACACACGAATCAGTGGTGGCCAGTCCCACAGGTTTGATCAACTCAACTTTATTTATATAGTGCTTTACCACAGCACAGCTGACCAAAGCACTTAACATATCATTCAAATATAAAAACAACACATAAAAAGCTATAAACAATAATATA